TCAGGTCCCCTGCTATTATGGTATTAGTGTCTGTTTCCTTCTTTAGGGAAAGTTAGACCTTTTGGTATTGTCCCATAGTTTTCTCAAGTGCTGTTAATTTTTTAAAAAATCTTTTTTTCTCTGTTGTTTGGATTGGAGAAGTGCTATTGATCAATCCTCAAGTTCACTAATTCTTTTTCTTTTGTCTCCATTTTGGTTTTGAGTTCACTCCAAAAGTTTTATATATTTGATGTTGTGTTTGTCTGTTCTGAAGTTTCCATTTGATTCTACTGTATGTTTCTTGTCTGAAATTTTTTATTGTTTTCCAGAGTGCTTACCATTGCTTTCCGAAGCATTTTTTAAATAGCTGCTTTAAAGTTTTTCTCACATAATTCCAGCATTTGTGTCATTTCTGCATTGGCATCTGCTGATTTTCTTAGTAGAGTTGCTATTTGCCACATGCTTCATTTGCCAAGTATTTTGAATTGTATGAGCGTTTGGGTTTTGTTTTTAATCCTATGGAGAATGTTGATATTTCTTTTAGCAGGCTGTCAACCTGTTTAGATTTGGGTCATAAGTTTCCACCCACTTTCTTTGAGCTGTTGTAATTTCACGTGAGTTTTCAAAAACCGTTGCAGTGCAATTTGCATCTGCTGTGTGTGTGTGTAAACCAGGGATCTGGGCAGTGGTCTGTCTGTTAGTTCAGTTCCTCATGTCTTTGTTACATGAATGTCATAAGTTTCCACCCACTTTCTTTGAGCTGTTGTAATTTCACGTGAGTTTTCAAAAACCGTTGCAGTGCAATTTGCATCTGCTGTGTGTGTGTGTAAACCAGGGACCAGTCTGGATCTGGGCAGTGGTCTGTCTGTTAGTTCAGTTCCTCATGTCTTTGTTACATGAATAGGGTTAGATCCATGTATGTCCAAGCTTGGGAATTAGTCCAGGAGTTAATAAACAACTTTTTGGCGTACTCTCCTGAGATCCTCTTTTTATTTGCTCTCTGCTGTTTTGTTTTTCTCGACTTTTCTATTTTCCAAGTAGAAGCTACGGTTTATTTGTTCCATTGTGCCACATACTTTTGCAGCTGCAGCCAACACATCTGGGGCCCAGTGGAGGTAGAGAAGAAAAGCAGTGTGGATTGGCTCCACCTTCTTGGAGCAATAGCTTCACTGAATAGGGAGGAAAGTTCCCTGCCTCAGATTTTGGTTGCATTAGGTTTTCATTACTGTAGCCTGGCACTGCCACCATGGGATTGCTTGGAGATGGGGATGCAGGATAATGTAGAAAACAAAACAGAAAAAATGGTATTTTTACATTCTCCCTGTGCATCAAGCCTTCCCTTTACCATTCCTCAAGCCAGAAGTAGAGGGCTTCTTCTAGTTCTGTCTGTGGCCTGGTGCCCACATCCCATGTGTTTAGTTTGGGGGATACCAAAGAAGAAAAAGGGGTAAGCTCACTGCTGGTTTTTGTGGTCTTTCAAATTCTTGTCTTTCCCTCCCATTTCACATGTTACTATTTACTTTTCCAAGTCCTCAGATTGCTGTTCCATGCATTCTTTTGAGGCAGGAGAGACAGCTTGTAGTATGTTTAACTCCATCTTACCTGGAACTGAAACATCTGTTTGTTTTTGCCATTAAAAATGACATGTACTTTACTGTGTGGTTCCAGGTTTGCTGGTTTGTTTGTTTTCCCTCTTTAATAGATTGATCCAGAGAAAATGGCCACTGCAATTAGGGAGGTAGGAGTTTGGAGGCAGACCAGAACACTCCTACTGAAGAATTACCTAGTCAAATGCAGGACTAAAAAAAGCAGTGTTCAGGTAAGTTAGATGACTCCTATGCCTGGTTGCAGTTTATTTTGCTTTTTTAATATGTTTTATCTTTAAGAGATGATTTATTTTGCTGGATTCATTTTTATTATAATTTTATTTCCCTATCTCTGTTTAATTTGCTTGTAAAATTTGTTGTGTTAGCCACAAAAAAACCCTGAATTGCCTAATGCTTTCTAAATGTTAAAAATTTTAATAGCGATTCATAAATTTACTTAGTTTCTAACATCAGTGCTTAACTTTGAACCTTTAGTTGTGCATTTGTCAAGTTTCATGAACTTACATTTCGCAGATAACTTTGTGGAACATTATTCCATGATTTCATTTCCTGTAACGTCCCATGTTATGGTCTCTATATTGAGTTGCCTAGGATTACTAAAATTATATCACAGACTTATACCCACAGGACACATTACTTTTTTTTTTTTTTTTTTTCTTTTTGAGACCGGCCGCACTGCACTCAGCCAGTGAGCGCTGTGAGCGCACCGGTCATCCCTATATAGGATCTGAACTCGCGGCGGGAGCGCTGCTGCGCTCCCAGCACTGCACTCTCCCGAGTGCGCCACAGGCTCGGCCCAGGACACATTACTTTTAAAGGTAAAAGAAAGTAAAAACTCTAGCTAACTAGCTAGTAATAATTTCAAAGGATGAAAATATATTGTTCATCTTCTCCTGAAACCAGCAGAACAGTTAAATAGCAAGATGAAATAATAGTTCATCCCTTCTAAAGCTGATCAGAGGATTTAATTGAATATTGTTTTCAATTATAAATTTAGCTGTAATTAAAGTATGATTTCTAATTCAGAATGAGTAAAGACTTTTTTATGGTGATCCCTATAGGGATGTTTGGTAAGTTACTTTAAAAAATTATATGAGTAAATTTGACACAGAGACACAGAGTATACATTCACAGGGAAGAAGGGTATGTAAAGACATAAGCAAAGATTAGAGTGATATATCTACAAGCCAACGAACACTAAAGATGGCCAGCAATCATCAGAAATTAGGAAGATGCAAGGAAGGATTCTTCCCTAGAGCCTTCAGAGGGAGCATGGCCCTGTTGACACCTGATTTTGGACTTCTAGCCTCCAGGACAGTAAGAGAATAAAATTCCATTGTTTCAAGCCACTCAGTTTATGGTAATTTGTTATGGCCACCCTAGGAAACTAATATGCATACACAGGACAAGCTTTTTCCTGCCTCAGATTTTTTGTACTTGCTGTTCCCACTAACTGGAACTCTCTTCTTCTGGCTCGTTACATGGCCAGTTCCATCTTATCCCTACAGGTCTCCATTCAAATCTCATTTCCTCAGAGATGCCTCTCCCAACCGCTCTAGCTAAAGTTGCTCCCTTGAGTTCCTTTGTACCACAATGACTTGTTTAATTTTTTTCACAGAATTTATCTCTCTGAAATTATTTTATGGATTTCTTTGGGTGTACATATTGTTATCTGTCTTGTTTCAAGAGAAGGCAGGTTACATAAGAATCATAGATGTATGCCCAATACCCAGGCAATTACCTTATATGTAGGAAGAACGCAATAAATATTTATTAAATGAACCCATGAAACAAAGGCTCACAACAGTCAAAAAAGGAAACTTGCCCAGGGTCACACCACAAAGAAGTCACAGAGTTTTTATTTACATGCAGGCTCTAACTCTAGCACCCAAGCTCATGATTAACTTTGATTGGAGAAACAAATAAAATTTGGGTTGGAGTTCATTAAAAAAATTTATATGAGTAAATTTATTATCTTTATATCAGTAATCTAACATGTTTAAGTGTTATCTTTTATGTTACTATAATTTATTATGTGACTTGAATCTTAATATATTTCAGTAAAACTGAGTTTAAAGGAAAATTCATCTAATATGCCTGCTGGGTTTGGTGATATGCTCAACATAATTCTTTTGGGATAGAATTACTCTTACTTTTTGTGCATAAGAAAGGACAACCAAATTTCTCATATTTTTGTTAGTACTAGTTATATTATTTATATAGAAATCTTAATTATTTTGCCACCATTGTTATACATTGTAATCATTTTGTTTCTTTTATTATAGGAAATTTTTTTTCCACTATTTTTTTTATTTTGGTTAATATTAATTAGCATGATGCATCCAAATAAGAAGTATGAAGAAGTGCCTGATATTGAACTTAACCCTATGGACAAATTTATCCTCTCTAACCTAATTCTTGGATATACTCCAGTGACTAATATTACAAGCAACATTATGCAGATGGTGTCTACTGATCACCTTCCTAACGGTATTGTGAGCTTATGTATATATTCTGTCTGTAGCGCAAAGCCTCTTTGATATCTATCAACTTGCTTTACTGAGTAAATAACATTCTTAACTCTTAGAGATATGTTCCTCCACCAATGAATTATTTTATTAAAATATTAAAATCATTTAATTCTGTTGCCTTATGTTTCTTACGAAATATTAATTTATATTCTTGGTGAAAAGTATATTTTATATATTTTCTTATTTTATATTTAATTCTTAGACTATTTATAAAATAGTTTAAGTATATTTGTACAGAATAAAACATTTGAATGAGTATTTCATTTTGATTCTGACTCTCATATAATAACTAAGAACCTAGAAATATATGATAAAGATTATAAAGCAGTAATCTTTCAGATTGCTATTCCTGTTTATGGAGGTATATGGTATAAACTAAGTACTTAACTTTGAAGACTGTGACTGAGGCTAAGTGCCTCAGTCTGTTTTTCTTAGTGTGTGCTTCTCACAAAGAAATGGACTAGAAAACAGTGTAAGCAATGAAATGGTAGTGAGTCTAAAGTGGCTGTGAGAGAAACTAAAGAACTGGAGAATGTGACAGAAATGTTTATACTATAATGATTAGACAATGAAGTGTTGAACTGTAGAAAATAACAGATTAGCATGTTCTTTTAAGTCATATAGGATAGTCGTAAATAACTTCTAGCATATATCGTCACGTTATTGGATAGTGCATCACTGAATGGAAGATGTCAGTTATGCAGTCAGGAGCCAAATGGCTTTCTCCCCATTGGTTTGTTTCTTGGATTCTTGCTATTTAATATTTTTATCAAACACATATCTTATTGGTATATATGTTTGTTGGTTTTTCATAGTAAGCACAAGTAGCACGGATAGCCATAAGAATTTGTGTGCAAGTTCAAAAAACTGGTCAGAAATGTTGAGGAGGAAATTCATTGGTAATGGTAATTAGGAAGAAAGGGTGAAACCAGAGAAATACAAGTCAGTACGTATTAACTTAGATACCAAAATAGTAGGGATATAAATATAGATTTTTTTTAAGTTCTGTCTTTTTAGCTATAGCACTATCTAAAAATGGGTTATATACACATACATGATAACATGACTGGTAGGATGTTGAACTAACACCATCTTTATTTAGGTCTATCCTGGAATTCCATGTCCACTTTAAAGTTCTAGAAAATCATGTTAATGAACATTTGAGTATTACTTTTATAATTAATAAAGCATTTTTATGTTTGTTACTTCACTTGGTCTTCACAGTAACCCAGTATAATCAGCTAGGTATTGCAGATGAGGACACCAAAGTTTGGAGAGTTTAATCTTTTATAGGTGCTAACACAGCTAATGAATGATGAAGTCAAGTACTAGTCCTATGTTCTTTCTGTATTACCATATGTTCTGAAGCTTCTGTAGTAAGGTTTAGTTACTTGTAAACGAAACCACAAGAAAATATTTAAAAATTGGTCTTATGTGAAAGAGTGATTACAGTATTTTCTCCATATATTTTCTAAGAAAGGAACAGGCAATATGGGGTTTAAATAGCAACTTTTATTCAAAGAAGAGTTGGATCATAGTTACTAAAATACATACTTTTTTTCCTGAGAAGGATTATGGAATTTTCTGTATAAGAAGAAATATTTAAAAATAAAATATCCATTTACTTATCAAGGAGTTAGTTCAACTATGAGATAGATAAATGAACTGCATTACTTATCATGTTTATAATTTCATTGCTACCTGAAATCTTAGTTTAAATTTAGAAATTAATCTGAAAGTAAGTCTACTTGTCAGTAGATTTAGAGAGAGGACTGGAGAGGGTAACAAAACTATTCAGTATTAAAGTTCAGTATAATTCATTGAGGTTTTGAGAAATAGCGATCTCTTGATGAAATAAGAGTTCTGCATATTGTTTTATACTATACTTTATCATACTTATAATTTATGTATTAGACTGACACATAATTTATGTAATTAAACAACAGCTGAGTAGTGTCTGTAAAATTTATTTTTTTAGTTATTCATTTAGTATTATTTTCTTAGAATACTTGTCTTGGGGGAGGGGAAGGGAGGTTGGGGGATAATTGGGTGGGGGACATGGAGTACAAAAGTAATTTCTGGTAATGGGTATGCTGCCAGTATGAATCTGGCCCTCACATCATGGGCACGAGGGGTGACAGCTTTGTATCTCATGAATATTCATAATTTTAAAAATTAATTAATTAATAAGAAAAAATACCTGTCTTCTTTTTGTAAGAAGTTAAGAGAATAAAACAGAAGTTCTAAATATTTCATGCATCAAATATAATTATAAATTTCATCTACTATATTACAGTAACTATTTTAATTTGTGAATTGACCATATTGTTATAATATTTTACAGTCATAATCACTGAAGCATATACAAATGAAAAAGAAATGCTAGCATCCAGTCTTTCTAAGTCCAGTAACTTCGTAGGTGTGGTTTTCAAAGACTTCATGTCCTATGAACTTAGTTTTTTTCCTGATATGATTCCAGTATCTTCTATTTATATGGATTCAAGAGGTAAATAGCCCTAAATAATCATTGAAAATCAATTAAATGCATGTCTTTGCTGCTCACAGTCATGTGAAAAGTTTTGGGGGGCCCAATCAATATTGACTATTGACTAATTTCAATAGTAGGTTTTATTTTTTATTTAGCAAACATTTATCACTTCTTTCCCAAACCCTGTTTCTAAGTTATGTTCTAATAACCCATTTAATCTTTAACAACCCTATGTGATGGCTGCTGTTATTATCTTCATTTTATATATGAAGCTGAAACACGGGGATATTAAATGACTTTCCAAAAACTCAGTTAATTATTGACTAATTTAATTAATGATTATTAATCATTTTTAACTATGCTTATTTGTTCAGATAGGAAACTGTCAAGTATAGTATAAAAATATTTTTAAAAAATAAGAATATGTATACACAAGTATTTATATATATACGTAACATAAAATTGAATAATATACATTTTAATTTTTTTTTTTTTTGTCTTTTTTGTGACTGGCCACACCGCGCTCAGCCAGTGAGCGGACCGGCCATCCCTATATAGGATCCAAACCCGCGGCGGGGGCACTGCTGTGCTCCCAGCGCCGCACTTGTCTTTTTTGTGACTGGCCGCACCGCGCTCAGCCAGTGAGCGGACCAGCCATCCCTATATAGGATCCAAACCCGCGGCGGGGGCACTGCTGTGCTCCCAGCGCCGCACTCTCCCGAGTGTGCCACGGGGTCGGCCCATACATTTTAATTTTAATACATTTATATATCAGTTACAGTAGCATAAAGCTAAATTGTATCTTGGATTATATGACTTTCTAAATCTATATTTTTTTCGCCATGTAATTGTTTTCACTTATGGTACAGTATAAATCTTTAAAATCTCAAGGTTTTCCACCAATGAACTTCATTAGTTTTATGTTTGAAACATGGGAAACAGCCTTCAGTTATTTAATCATATGAGAGATATTATCAACCACATTTATTGATTAGAGTTAAAGTTGCTATGCTAAGAACAAAATCTGTGACTTGATTCCATAAAGCCCTTACAGAAAATTATTTTTTTTGTTTTTTAAACTTGGACTTGTCCTTGCATCTGGAAGTGCTTTGAAGTTACATCATTATAGAATAACTTACTTTAAAACAGAAAAGTGACTTATTTTAAATAACTATTCTTACAATTAATTTTTTTCTTTACATTTTTATTTATTTACCATTCAGTGTCTTAATACACGTAACATTTTATTTCAAAATTTCAAGTAATCAGGAATCTTACAAATATTGTTTGCCTTTGAAGGGCAATAGCTTATTTTCTTTGGTCTTAGAGAGATTGATTGATTATATTGCTTTGTTAAACCTCCACATGTTATCTTTAGAGGAAAATACTCGCATGTTATATAAAATCTTATATCTCACTTTTTTTCCCTATAGCTGGCTGTTCAAAATCATGTGAGGCTGCTCAGTACTGGTCTTCAGGGTTCACGGTTTTACAAGCATCCATAGATGCTGCCATTATACAGGTAAATATGATGAAGGAAGAAAAACAAAAACCAAAACAATGTCTTCTAATTCTTCACAATAGTATTTGGTTTGGCTGCTGTCAAATGTACAAAATATATAACTCATTACAACTTCTTTAAGAAAAAAGGTAAGGGAGTATATTTTCCAATTTAATACTTTTTGTAACTCACTTTTATTTGATGGTTTCTAAGCATAGAATTCAGCATTCAATATATCTGTATTGTATCTTTATTAACCATAGGTAATATTTACAGAAGATGTATATTTGAAGACTTTTCCCCTTGAATACAAATAACTTGGTTTAAAGAAAGTAAATATCTTTGTTATAATAAGATAAACTGTATATCTTATGAACTTATGATTTTGAGTATCTTAATCATAATAGTAGGTTTTATTTTTTATTTAGCAAACATTTATCACTTATTTGCCAAACCCTGTTTCTAAGTTATGTTCTAATAACCCATTTAATCTTTAGCAACCCTATGTGATGGCTGCTGTTATTATCTTTGTTTTATATATGAAGCTGAAACACGGGGATATTAAATGACTTTCCAAAAACTCAGTTAATTAGTGGCAAAGTAAGGATTCAAACTACAGGTTTTGACTCTTACATCTGTGCTTTAATATTATACTTTGCTGCCACTAGGATTGTATATAAATGTTTGAATTATATTCTGAAGACATACCTAGACCTGATCCAGTGTTTCCATTTTAGCAGAAAAATTAGCCATGAAATTTATTTTTTAAAAATGTTAATTTTGTGTCTGGGCTAAATAGCAGTAAGATGAAGTTTCCTTAGTTAGAATTCAAACTATTCAAATTAATCATATCTCATTTTTCCAGGTTCCATATGAATCTGTGGGGTTTTTTTATTTGCTTTTTCTAATTGAAATTTACTATACTACAAAAATTGTAATTTCAAAATGCATATCAACAATCTTCTCTACTAAAGCTGTATATACAGAGTATGTATGAATAGTGGTAGAACTGGAATCAAGACCTGAACAGGAGTCCTATCTCTGTTAGTTGTTAGACTGCTATGTAGTGAAATGACTACAATAATACTTTATTCGACAGGGTCGTTGTAAGAAGCAGACAAGATCATGTATGTAGAATTGTCTTATAAACTCTTGCAACATGGTGCAAATATATTAGGGCTATGCAATATTATACATATTGAATACTAAAGAAATTTAAGGTAAAGATAGTAAAATATGGGATGTATTGATGGTTTTATTGCACTTATGTTTGGCCAAAAACTTTAGCCATCTGTAGCCCAGACCACAAGGGATGAATAGGCAGGACAGATCTCATTTTAAGCATTCAGTTGAATGTTAGAAGTATCATACGGCATAGTTTTTTTATTCTGTCTGTATGTGCTGCATGTTTAGATTTTAAAACAATAGTACATGCTATTTAAAAGATCATTTTTAAAACAGTCATAGGAATGATGGTGCTAATAATCATTCCTAAATTCCTCAATTTTGAAAATGTATATTTTTGTTAAGATGCATATAATTTTCTGATTAAGATGATAGCTGTGCAATTTTATTTTCTTTGACAAATTATTTAATCAAAATTTATATACTCACCAACCTCAAGCTTTAAACTTTATGGTATGCTTCCAGAATGAATTAAAAGCAGTATTCTACTCTGTTTTATGATATTGGGATCACTCCAGTGTAGCTTTTTGAGGGTTGTATTTGTACTAGTTATTGACTAAATTTGGGCACATAACTTTCACATTTTATTAGGGGCTACTGTCAGAACTAAATTAATATATTTACTTTTTCTAATTATAGTTGAAGACCAATGTTTCTGTTTGGAAGGAGCTGGAGTCAACTAAAGCTGTTATTATGGGAGAAAATGCTGTTGTAGAAATAGATATCTTTCCCCGTGGAGCAATTTTAATATACCTAGTTATAGCTTTTTCACCTTTTGGATACTTTTTGGCAATTCATATTGTAGCAGAAAAAGAAAAAAAGTTAAAAGAATTTTTAAAGATAATGGGACTACATGACACTGCTTTTTGGTATGTTATTAAAAGTTTATTATTTAGTATAATTAACAATTGTATTAAATCTTCGGAATTGTAATTTTATTATTTCTCCAACTTGATGACGTGCTGATCCTGTTTTCTTACAGTGATTGCCTTTGTCTTTTAATTTGAGACTAGTCAACAAGCTGCAGCAACTAATTGGCTTTTTTGAACATAAGGGAAGAGGAATGTGGAAAGCTTATGTTGACAATACATGTTTAAACTTTATTTCACATTTTGTTTGAACCCATGAGGCATGCTGCATGTATTTCACTGTATATTTCAGCGTATGAAAGATATGAGATCTTGGAAAGTTAAAAATTAATTTCCACTTATAGTCTTCCCCTTAATATCATTGCATATACATGATACTAAAAATTGAGTTAAATGATTAATGTTTGTGTATGTAGTATATTGATTTTTTTTTTCCTAACAAGTTTTAGTCACTTAGGTGAATGAAGATGAAGAATATACAAATAATTTATGGAGAAACAAATGAAAAAAATATGTTTTCACGAGTGAGCTTTACTGTATCAGCATTTTTATACAATAATAATTTTATAGAGGCATGTGTTTTTATAAGTAACAGTCATGCATTGCTTAAAGATGGGGGTGTTTTGAGAAATGCATCATTAGGCAATTTCATCATTTTGCAAATATCAGAGTATACTTACACAAACCTAGATGGTATAATCTACTACACATCTAGGATATATGGTATGTAGCTTATTGCTCTTTGGCTACAAAGCTGCACAGTGTGGTACTGTACTGAATACTGTGGGCAGTTGTTACACAATGGTATTTGTGTGTCTAAACATATCTAAAGTTAGAAAAAGTACAGTGAAAATATGGTATTATCTTAATGAGACCACCATCTTATATGCAGTCTGTTGTTGATCAAAATGTCATCAGGCAGAGCATGACTGTAATAATTTTATGAGTGTGTTTTCCTTACTCTTCCCTCTGTAAGAGGAGAATTTATTTTAAGCTCTTTTGGGAGGAAAGGTTAACACTGTGCATATGAGTTGCTATTATAGTCTGTTTTATAAAATTTTATTCTCTTTAGCCCACAATTAATTGTAACACACTTTACATAAATGAGGTTATTGCGTATAACTTATTTTCTTTGCTGGCTTTTCTTCTGTTATTTTAGAAATGATTGGTTTTTAGGATGCATTGAATTATTAAAGTATTTTGTAGGAAAACAGTAGCTGGATGAATTTAGCAGATTAGTTTCTCAGTGACTCAATTTTGCCTCTAAAATTATAGATTCAATTTTGGTAGTTTAGCTACCTTTTAGCACTACTAGTTACTGCTCTTATGACATCATGATCTGCTAACTTGAAAAAATAAAAATAAAATGAAACTAAATACTGTAGCAATTCCATTGAGCTCTGATTTAGAGAGAAATCTTTAGTAAATATTGTGAATCCATTGTTTATTTTGTTGATCTCATTTTGTGTAAATGTAGTAATTATGTCATTGATTAGTGAGGTAGCCTTTATTATTTTTAATAACAAAAGCCTCCAGAGGTTTAATTGTAGCAAATGCCTTAAAGAATAACATTATGTAAATCAGAGGTATTGTGCACTATTAAACTTCTGAGTGTTAGATATAAATTAATCATGAATTGTTATTAATTTTTAAGGCTATTTTGATTCTTTGAAAGATATTTGCCATTTTCTGTCATATTACACTTTTACCTATAACTTAACCAATACTGTTTTTAATTACTTATAAGAGTATTGATTTTTCAATATGTGAGCATACACAGAAATGAATAGATTGACTTAATTTTAAGAATAAAATGGCTAAAATACATCTGAAGTTTTGTTTAAAATGATTTTTTTAACTGGTAAAGCCTATGCATTTGACCGTAAATTTGTATTTGTATTCTCATTTTAGGCTTTCCTGGGTTCTTCTGTATACAAGTTTGATTTTTCTTATGTCCCTTCTTATGGCAGTCATTGCAACAGCTACTTCATTATTTCCCCAAAGTAGCAGCATTGTGATATTTCTACTTTTTTTCCTATATGGATTATCGTCTGTAAGTATTTTAACTTGAAATGAGATAAAGAACTGTCAAAATATTTGATAATATAGTGAAGTCTTTTTATTTGCTTTACTTGTAGGCAATTTTCCATAAAAGACAGATTGTTACTAGGTTACTGATAAATGATTTAATAAATGATGTAGCATCGTTATACTTCCATGGTTTTAGGAAAGTTATGAAATAGTCTCAGGTTTAAATTCAACTTGTCTTCATATGATGTATTTTACATACAGTTCTTCTGAGTCTACTTGTTATTATCTTTATATAATCATGTATGGAATTAAGATTTTTCAGTACTAAACTACATTTTTCTTTGTCTTCATGAAATTTTGTTTCAAGTTAATTTATGCTATAAGATGATGATTTTTAAAGATATGTACAAGGGGTTCCAGCTTTCATTCTGATTGGTTTATGTGCCCATCCTGTACCCATTGTTAAATCATATTTCGATTATCACCCCTGCTTTTTAAAATGGTAGATTACAAATAACTCATGTACTTGTACATATAGTTTCCTGTTTTTTAAAGCTGGTTTTGTATCTTATCAAAACATTAAGTTTAAAAGATAGGTCCTGTATTTAAAAGCTTGCTCATTTATTGATTTATTGTTTGTTTCCATATTTTACCCATCTAACTGCAGAAACACATGGCTGTTTATGGTTTCTGTAGTGTAGAGGTGGTCATGTTTGCCTGTAATACAGATAAAATACAGTCTTTTTAAGTTTGTTTGTCAGTTTAAATTTTTAAAACATATGTCACTATTTATATGAAAGTGCAATATCTTACCATAACATTTAGAAATTATGATTGTATTTTAATGAATGTATTTTTCAATGAAAATAGCTTGTTCTTTCACCAGAAAATTTAATTGTTTTTTTAAACTAGTGTATATGAACAATGTATTAACCTTAATATTTTTATTTTATAGGTATTTTTTGCTTTAATGTTAACACCTCTTTTTAAAAAATCAAAACATGTGGGAATGGTTGAATCTTTTGTCACTGTGGCTTTTGGATTTGTTGGCCTTTTAATGGTCCTCATGGAAAGTTTTCCCAAATCCTTAGTGTGGCTTTTAAGTCCTTTCTGTCAGTGTACTTTTTTGATTGGTATTGCACAGGTAGGTAACATATTAATCTTGCATTCACTAAATATTTTCTTTTCAGTTCCATGAAGCATCTTATACTACCATAGACAATACTTTGATTTTCAGAAAAAAAATATTTAAAAAATTTCAACATGAGAAAGAAATGATATTTGAGTACTAGAGGGCATTTTATATCTAGTTAACTTGCTCCAATTTTAAGTTTTCAATGAAATGTTCTATTTATAAGTATTTCCCCTTTTGCTTCAGTATATGTCTCAGTAATATGTTTTACTGTAATAACTCAGTTTGTTAGAAGTCACTGGTTTAAGTGTCAAGTAATCTAGATTGTTCGATGGCCTGGTTATATTGCTACCATTTGTAAATTTAACTCAGAAGGATGCCCGGCAAAAAATTGTATGTGGAGCAGGATAAATTTATCGTGAGTGTAGTAGTGACATTAATAGGCCTGGTGGATTTTATTGACCTAGGCTTCATGGGATTGTTATTCATGTAAGTAATATTTGGAGTTTTAAATTTGATTTTTGTTAGTTCTTATAGGGGTATAAGTGAAAAATATCTTATAAGAAACTGCTTTATATGATAGAATATAAATCTGGTTAATATACAAAGAAAAAATGTAATTACTTAATATAAGAGTTTACTCATATTGGTTGGATAGAATATTCTGATTTGTAAGATTAAATTAAGATAGACCATTTATGAATATTGAACTAAACAAATTTTAGTTACTTGAGACCTAAAAGCTGTTGTTATATATTTTGAGAGTCCACTGAGTCTCCATTCTCTTAAGAAGGTAGAATTATAGATTCATAGGTTTTTGTTGTGAGTGGGTGGGCCTTTCGGTCATTTAATCCATCTCTTTATTTTACAGGTAAGAGGACTGAAATACAGAGTGGTATAATTGAAATGTATTCACTTAATGGCAGGGACCTTTTTTGTTGTGAGTGGGAGGGCCTTTCGGTCATTTAATCCATCTCTTTATTTTATAGGTAAGAGGACTGAAATACAGAGTGGTATAATTGAAATGTATTCACTTAATGGCAGGGACCTAAATGAGGCCTTAACCTCCAGTACATTTGTCTTTCTACTCTATTGCATGTATTTACTATGAATTCTTTAATAATTGCATTAATGAATCAAAATACCTTCTCCCTTTTCAGTATCGGAAAGATGCTGACCATAATTTTATCCTCTACAAGTTTGACTTCCATGTGGACCATAGTCTTTTGTTTGCATCAGTTACTGTTAACATCACGTTTCCTTTTATCTCATTTGATAGTCATTGCATTAGAATTAAATTCCCCAGTAGTAGATATATTCTAGTTTAAGGAGCACAGGATTAAAAACATGATTGAAAGGAATTGTTATGATAAACATATTTTGGTAAAGTCTATTGTTTTTCATATAAAGTTGTATTACTAATTTGGTAGAATGTTTAATCTATGTAAAGGCCCAGTTTGGTTACTGTCACTCTGTATATAATGAGTAACTCCAAGTAGTGTTGGTTTTTGCTCATTTTTATCATTTTTATATAATAAAGTTGGTGTTTCTATTTTTTAGGTCATGCATTTAGAAGATTTAAATGAAGGTGCTTTATTTTCTAACTTGACTGAAGGCCCATATCCTCTAATTATTACTATTATCATGCTAGTACTTAATAGTATATTCTATGTTCTCTTGGCTGTCTATCTTGATCAAGTCATTCCAGGTATGCAGGGGGTTATTGGATTTTACTTTAAAGACTTTTAAGGTTTTTTCCCAAATAGAGTCAACTTTAACTTTAATTTATTTTTCTAAGCAGAATACCCTAAGTCCTATTTATTGTTAAAGCTTTAAATTGATTTTAAATAAGTACATTTGTACCTTAGGCCTTAGCCACTAGTGAACATAAGGAGATTGTGTAAAAAGAGAGCAGATTGTTTTAAAAGCCTTGAGTCCGTAGCTGAACTTCTTAAGTTGTTCCTTCACTGTGCCAATCTCCCCCCGGAATCTTTAACTAAAATGTTTTATTATTTTAACCTCTAAGTTCTATAACTATGAAGTAATCTTGTAACTTTTACCATTTTCTTCATCTCTTATCATACATCAATAGCCAACTCCTATAGATTCAATAGTAATATTAAATATCCAACACCTCGTTTCTTTTCCCCTTGAGTTCCTCATTACTTTTGTTCATATTCTAGACCTGTACTGTCTTACACAGTAACTGTTAGCCACATATGGCTTTTTAAATTTAAATTAATTAACATTAAATGAATGAATTCATTTCCTCAGTAGCATGAGCCACATTCCAAGTGCTCATACCCATACATGGCTGTTAGTTATCAGGGTGCACAGTACAGATATAGAGCATTTTCAAAATTACAGGAGTAGAGACCATTGAAATACATCTCATCTAGCTATCTACCTGTAGTCTGTCTCACACTCCCCAAGAATTCCTTTCAATCAAGTTAATCTGCTCAAAAACCTTGTCGGGCATATCCTACTTAATTAAATAGAAACTCTTTATATAGTGATGTCCTCCACAGTACTTTTATATATTTAATTTCTCTTCTTCCTTATTGTACTTTATGTCCATCTGTGCAGTCTTTTTTTTTTTTTTATCTATTTAAACACATCTCCAGTGTATCAGATTGTTTTCAACTACTCTTAACAGAGAACCTTTCTAATTGGCTTAAAACAAGAGGAAATTGTCTCACTTAAAAGGAAGTCCAAAGATAGGGTGGGCTCCAAGTTGGTTGACTTGCTTGACTGTGTCTTCAGGGACACACTTTCTCTGTTTTTGCCACCTTTATCTCGAGGTTTGGCAGATTTTCTCTCTTTATGGCTGCAAGCCATAACTGGGTATTATGCTTCTTTGTTCATGTCCAGTAGAAGAGAAAGGGTGAACCTCTTTCCCCAACAAAGCCCTTTGTTTCTGTCTGGTTGGGGTTACATGCTTGCCACTAGGACAGTAATAGTCACCAGAGGAATGCCAAGGACTGATGAAGATACTTGAGATTAAGATTCAGTTAGAATCTTGTCTGCAGTTGGGATCAGATCCCTTTGAAACACATAGCCAATCTAGAAGAAAAATGGATATTTTAAAAAGCGAGGGGTGAAGGTTTTTTGTGGGGCAAAGGGGGAAAACAAATATATGCTGTGTGGACAGCCATCACTGACTACCATTTCTTTTTTTTTTTTTTTTTTGTGACCGGTAAGGGGATCGGAACCCTTGGCTTGGTGTCGCCCGCACCACACTGAGCCAGTGAGCGCACTGGCCATCCCTATATAGGATCCGAACCTGTGGCCTTGGCACGCCCAGCGCCGCTGCGCTCTCAGCGCCGCACTCTCCCGAGTGAGCCACGGGTTCGGCCCACTGACTACCATTTCTAAGTCTCATATTTCTATCCTGTTGCTGTGTTGCTCTCCTAATTCTGAAAAGTCTTCTCCATGAACTGTATCCACTTTTCTAAATACTACCTTTTTTCAAAAACTATCTAAGCTGTTATGTATTCAAGACTTTAGCCCATTTAGCCTGCATTGTATTCTAATCATTTAGTATATACTTGTACCCATAAAGATATGTTTCTTTGGCACAGAAAATGTGCTTTACTTACCTTTACATCGACAACTCTGAAACTATTTATGGATTAGAATTATTGTCAGTAAAACTTTGATTTTTCATATAATGCTGATTTAGTTCTTTATACCTAAACTTTATTTATTAACTTATTATTTTTAATTGACAAATAAAAATTGTATACATTTATTGTGTACAATATGATTTAAAGTATGTATACATTGTGTAATGGCATCTGAACTTTAGATCTAGATTGTCATGTTTCAAATACTGCCTTTATGATTTAAAAACTAGCTTTTAGAAATAACGTGTTATGATAACTCACTTTCTTATTTTTATTTTTCAGGGGAATTTGGCTTACGGAGATCATCTTTATATTTTCTGAAGCCATCTTACTGGTCAAAGAGCAAAAGAAATTATAAAGAGTTATCAGAGGGAAATGTTAATGGGAATGTTAGTTTTAGTGAAATTGTGGAGCCTGTTTCTTCAGAGTTTATAGGAAAAGAAGCCATAAGGTATGATTCAGTCTTTGGCAATTTAAGTATCAGAACTGCTGATAGAACCTGCCACATTTAAATCCTATCTTTTAAATATGTATTTAAGTATGATATCTTAGATTTCGTAGACACTTCATGATTTTAAAAAGTAGCATTAATAAGGCTACTTTTAAGTTATTTTCTTGGCAACCATTTAGAATAAGGTTCCTGATAGGTTTGAAACCTTACGTTTCAGTGGAAATTTTTAAAAGTAATAAAACTCAGTTTTTAGGGCCGGCCCGGTGGCGCACTGCTACAGTGCACCGCTTGGGAGCACGGCGGCGCTCCCGCCGAGGGTTCAGATCCCACATACAGACCGGTTCCCGCTCACTGGCTGAGCGAGGTGCGGGCGCAACACCGAGGGTTGTGATCCCGTTGCCGGTCCCGGTCTGGTACGGGCGTGACACTGAGGGTTGCGATCCGTTGCCGGACACGAAAAAAGACAAAAGGGAAAAAAAAAAAAAAAAACCCTCAGTTTTTATACAGTTAAGCTGTTTAAAGCTTTTTCCATTATGTAGATTGAAACAGAATATTCTATAATTTTATTCATGTTGTATTGTCTTACACAACATATTAAATTGTCCTTTGTTAATTTTACAGATCTTTAGGTTTTTGTGACATAATTAGAATATCACTTTAATTTTTAAGAACCAAAGAAATTTATTACTCTTTCTTGTTAGATCAGTTAACACCAAATTGAAAAAAAAAAAGGAAGAAAAGAAATAAAAGAAGTAAGAAAAAGTAAAGTATAATATGGTTCTTATATTTAAGCATGTATAAAAGCAAGAGAGAGTCAGAATATTTAAGATGTTAGCAATGGATCAGTGGTCTGCCTTCTCAAGGGTAAAGTTTCAACTGATTAACAAGATCATTAGTTCTTTTAAAAATTGTGTAAAAAAGTTTAAAGTTCAGTGAGAGAATCAATTCATATTTAAAGACAGTTTGAGATGTGTGCTGATATGAAATGGCATCCAGTTTATATCCCCCTTAAGTGATTTAACATGTATGTATTAGTCCGTTTTGAATTGCTACAACAGAAATGCCTGAGACTGGGTAATTTATAAAGAACTAAGGTTTATTTGGCTTACGATTCTGGGACAGCTGCATCTGGCACAGGCCTCAGGCTGCTTCTACTCATGGTGGAAAGTGTCAGGCAGTCAGTGGCGGGAACGAGCGGATCACGTAGCAAGAGGAAGCAAGAGGTGCAGGATCTTTTTAAACAACCAGCTCTCTCAGGAACTAATAGAGCGAGATCTCACTCAACCCCCACACCCCAGGGAGAGCATTAATCCATTCATGAGGGATCTGCCCCCATGACTCAATCAGTTTCCAAGATTGCCACGTTGGGGATCAAATTTCCACATGAGTTTTGGAGGAGACACCACATCCAAACTCCATCAGTCTTCTCCTGGCCTCCCAAAACTCATGTTCCTCTCACATACAAAATACAATTATTACATCCCAACAGTCCCAAAAGTCTTAGCTTGTTCCAGCACCAACTTAAAAGTCTAAAGTCTCATCAGAGACCAAAAGCAAAAGTCCTTCCAGCTGTGAACCTGTAAAAACAAAACCAAATTTATCTACTGCTCGTATAACTTCGTATTATGTATGCTATACGAAGTTATTACGTCCCAGTTTATTCCCATTCCTCAAAAGTCCTTCCAGCTGTGAACCTAAAGAACAAAACCAAATTTATCTACTGCCAAGATACAATGGTGGAACAGACATTGGGTACACATTCCCATTCCAAAAGGGAGAAATAGGCCAGAGGAAAGGAGAAACAGGTTCCAAACAAGTCTGAAACCCAGCAGGACAGATATTAACTCTTAAAGCTCCAAAATAATCTTTGACTCCAACTCCTGCATCCTGGGCACAATGGGGCATTTGGGCCCCCAAAACCTTGGGCAGCCTCACTCCCACAGCTCTGCCAGGCACAGCCCAGTGGGCTGCGCTGATGCCTGCAGCTTTTCCAGGCCTACATTGCACATTGTCAGTGGCCCTGCAGTTCTGGGGTCCTGGCAGCAGCCCCGCTGCCTTAGCTCTACTAGACATTTCCTTGGTAGAGGCTCTCTGTGGGGGCTTTGACCCCACTTCCTGCTCGGCATTGCTCTAGTAGATGGCCTCTGTGGTGGCTCCACCTCTGCGGCAGGTCTTTGCCTCTGTCTCCAGGCTTTTCTGTACATCCTCTGAAATCTGGGTGGAGGCTGCCATGCTTCCACTGCTCTCACATCCTGCTAGCCTGCAGAATTAACACAATGTGGATGCCAGGGAGGTTTCAGGCGTCTACTCTCCAGGGCTGCTGCATGAACCACACTTGGGGCTGCTCCAGTCAGAGCAGCTGGGATGCTAGGAGCAGGTTCCTGAGGGCAGCTGCGCCCCGGGTCTGTCCCCTGGGACAACTCAGTCCTTCTAGTCCTCAGGGTCTGTGATGGGTGGGACACCCTTCCAGACTTCTCAAATGCCTTTAGAGCTTTTCTCTTATTGTCTTGGCTCTTAACATCTGGCTGCCTCATCACCAAACAAATGTCTTTAGCAATAAGTTTATCTGCTTGCCCCTTGCATTGTTCTCCAGCTCTCTGCTTCTGTACCTCATGGCCAGGCTGCAAATTTTCCAAATCTTTATGCTCTGCTTGCCTTTTAAATTCTGGCTTTACCTCATGCTTTTGCCCCCATAACTCAGAGTAAGCTGTTAAAAGTAACCATGAAGTTTCCTTAATGCTTTGCTGCTTGGAAATTTCTTCTGCCAAGTGCTCTGGTTCACAACTCTTAAGTTCCACCTTCCGCAAAGTCTTAGGGCATGGACACAATGCAGCCAAGTTCCTTGCTATTAGCAAGGGTTATCTTTTGTCTAATTCCTGATAAGTTCCTCATTTCTATCTGAGACCTCATCATCCTTTACTGTCCACATTTCTGTCAGCATTCTGGTCACAACCATTTAACCAGTCTCAAAAATCTTCCAAACATTCTCTCATCTTTTTGTCTTTTTTCTGAATCCTCCAAACTCCTCCAACCTTTGCCCATTACCCAGTTCCAAAGCTGCATCCACATTTTCAAGTATCTGTATAGAACACCCCACTCCTGGTACCAGTTTTCTGTATTAGTCTGTTTTGTGTTGCTATAACAGAAATACCTGAGATTGGTAATATAGAAAGAACAGAGGTTTATTTGGCTTACGATTCTGGGACAGCTGCATCTGGCACAGGCCTCAGGCTGCTTCTACTCATGGCGGAAAGTGGCAGGTAGCCGGCAGGTACAAGCAGATTGCATGACGAGAGGAAGCAACAGAGAGGAAGCCAGAGAGAGAGAGAGAAGGTGCCAGGGTCTTTTTAAACAATGAGCTCTCGCTGGAACTAACAGAGCGAGAACTCACTCATTAATCCCCCCTCCCCCAGGGAGAGCATTAATCCATTCATGCGGGATCTGCCCCATGACTCAATCAGTTTCCAAGATTGCCACATTGGGGATCAAATTTCCACATGAGTTTTGGAGGGGACAACGCATCCAAACTCCATCGATGTAGATTAATCACAGTTGAAATGAAATCCATAAATTGCTTGAATCAAATGGTTCATTTATTTTTAGAAGTTGGTTTTGGCCCGAAAAACGAATGAATGACGTTTAAAATGGAGAACTATACTGTATTTTTCTCTTGTAGCCTCTTAAAAATAATTTTATAGTCATTGTCAAGTTTCTTTGGTTTATTATTTTAATAGGAAGGTGCTTTATTATTATTATTCCTGTTAAATATGATAGCTTTGATAGAAATATTATACCTGTAAACCTACATACTTATTAATTGCTTTAAATACTTAAAGTAGAAAACTGTTTTTCAGAATCAGTGGTATTCAGAAGACATACAGAAAGAAAGGTGAAAATGTGGAGGCTTTGAGAAGTAAGTAGCTTTTCTAGTTTTCAGTCCATAGTATTAAAGTACAAACGGAAAAACGATTTGCATAGTTTGTGGAAATTTAAACTTCTCTACCATAATTTTCTGTCTTGCCTTTACAAATACTTTCACTTTTTATGTGATTCATATTTATAATAAAACTAACATCAAAGTTGTAAAAGCAAAAAGTAGTATCCAGTAAGTTTAAAAATATTCAGCTATTCAAACAAGTCTATGTTCTTTTTCATTTTATTATTTTGCATGTGTATACATGTTAATTACTTTTTAAAAAATTCTTTTGGCCTAACATAGGTTTTCTCAACAATTACTTTTTTTTAAAGTTCTTTGGGCCTAACACAGGTTTTCTCAACCTGGGCACAACTGAATTTTGGTCCTGATGATTCTTTGTTGTGGGGAGCTGTCCTGAGAATTGTACAATTCAGCAGTGTGTTGGTGTGTTACGGTTCTCCAGAACCAACATAATACACACACACACAACAAGTGCAAGTGTGGGGCTGGAGAGGTTTTTTTTTTAAAGAATTAGCTCATGTGATAATGGGGGCTGGCAAGTCCAAAATCTGTAGGACAAGTTGAAAACTCAGGAAAGAGTTGAAATTGCAGTCTTGAGTCCAAAATTCTTAGGACAGGCCAATAGGCTGGAAACTCATGCAGAAGTCTATGTTACGTTCTTGAGGCAGAACTCCTTGATGAAACCTGTTTTTTCTCCTAAGGCCATCAACTGATTGAATGAGGTTTACCAATATTACTTAATTTTACTTAAAGTCAGCTGATTATAAATCTTAATGACATCTATAAAATACCTTCACAGTAACATGTACACAACCGTTTGACCAAACAACTAGGAACCATAGCCTAGCCAGGTTGACACACAAAATTAACCATCACAAGCAGCATCCCTGGCTTCTACCCACTAGATGCTCATAGTAACCCCCTTCCACAAGTTGTGACAATCAAAAATGTTTCCAGGACTTGCCAAAGGCAAAATCTCAATCTCTATCCCCCTCCTTCACCCCTGCCTGAGAACCACTGGTCTAACATATACAGGTTGAGTATAATCCAAAAATCCAAAATCCCAAATGCTCCAAAATCCAAAAGTTTTTGAGTACTGACATGATGTAAAAGGAAATTCTCATTGGAGGATTTTGGATTTTTGGATTAGGAATTCTGAACTGGTACGTATAATGCAAATATTCCAAAATTCAAAAAGTATGAAATCCAAAATACTTCTGGTCCTAAGCATTTTAGATAAGGGATAGTCAGCTTGTATTGACTTTTCTAGATACCTTCACTTTATTATTAGCAGATTTATTATCATAAATTCATTTGTAGTATTTTCATATTATCTTAATAAGGTCTGTAGGATCTGCAGTGTTTTCCCATTTTTATTCCTGAAATTCATTATTTCACTTTTTTTTTTTTCTTTTTTGAGTACTGGTTTATTGGTTAAAAAAAATATTTTTAAAGAACCAACGGTTGGCTTTGTTGACACTCCGTATTATATATTTGTTTTCTATTTCCTTAAGTTTTTCTCTTTATTATTTTCTTGTCATATCTACTTCTTTTGAATTTGTCCCCAGTTCTTGAGATAGATGCATAGATCATTTTCCAATGATTCATTTTAAGTATATAGATTTTCTTCTAAGCATGGCTTTAGTTTCATTGCCTAAGTCTTGACATATTATTTTCTTTATTCAGTTTTAAATACTTCTTATTTCTACTGTGATTTCTTTTTTGATAATGTTGATTTTCAACTATATGGGGATTTATCTTTTTGTTATAGATTTCTATGTTAATTCCACATAGTCTTAAGGTTCATTTCAGCATTTGAAATTTGTTGATATTTGATTCACAACCCAGCATTTGATCAATTCTTGTATCTGTTCTGTGTGTATTTACATAGGACATATATTTGGCAGTTGCTGGATATGGTATTCCATATCAGGTCAAGTTTTTAATTGTGTTTTTGAAATCTGTGTTTTTACTGATTTATATTTTTTGTGATATTGCTTTTTCTATTTATTGAGAGAGATGGATTAAAAATACAAATGTTCAGTTACAATTGTGAATTTTGTTTGAGCTTCTGTTGTTGTTTCCCTTTCGCTAAGGACTGAATGATTGTGTCCCCACAAAATTCATATATGGAGCCTCTAATGCTCATGTGATTGTATTTGGAGGTAAGGGCTCTGGGATGTAATTAGGTCAGTAGGGTAGGACCCTTACAAATGGGATTAGTGCCCTTATAAGAAGAAACACAAGAGAAATCGTCTTTCTCCAACATGTGAAGATACACCAAGAAGGTGGTATATGCCAGTAGGAAGAGGGCCCTCACCAAACTTCAGACCTGCTGCCACCTTGATTTGTGAACTGGGAGAAATAAATGTTTGTTGTATAAGCCACCCAGTCTATGGTATTTTGTTACAGCAGCTCGAACTAAGGCACCTTTATATTTTTTCAGACCATGCTATTAGGTACATACTATTAGGTTGAGAGTTACAGCTTCCTAATGAGTTGAACATTTTGTCATTATGAAATATATCTCTAGTAATTTTTTTTTTTTTTGCATAAATTCTGCTCTCCTTTTGGCTTGTGTTTACATGGTATATATTTTCCATCCTTATATTTGCAATATTTTTTTGAAGATGTCTCTATTCTAAGTACCAAATAGTTATTGTATTTTAAAATCTGATCCAAAATTGTTTTTCTTTTATTGCATTGTCTAGTTCATTTGCATTTATTGAGATTATTGCTATATAGGCAAACCCCATTTTTTTTTTGCACTTCACTTTATTGCATTGCACAGATAATTTGTTTTTTTTACAAATCAAAGTTTTGTGGCACCCCTGTATCAAGCAAGTCTATCAGTGCCACTTTTTTCAGCAGCATATGTTCACTTTGTGTCTCTGTCACATTTTGGTAATTCTCACAATACTTCAAAAAAACTTTTTTGTTATTATTATATTTGTTATGGTAATCCATGATTGGCGATCTTTGATGTTACTTTTGTAAATGTTGTGGGGTGCTACAAACCATGCCCAAAGAAGATGGCTAACTTAGATAAGTGTTGTATGTGTTTTCACTGCTCCACTAACCAGTGATTCCCCCATCTCTCTCCCTGTCCTTAGGCTTCCCTATTCTATGAGACACAACAATATTGAAATTAGGCCATTTAATAACCCTCAATGGCCTCTAAGTGTTCAAATGAAAGGAAGAGTCACATGGCTTTCACTTTAAATCAAAAGCTAGAAATGATTAAGTTTAGTGAGGAAGGCATTAGAAACGCTGAGATAGGTCAAAAGGTAGGCCTCTTGCACCAAACAGACAAGTTGTGACTGCAAAGGAAAAGTTCTTGAGGGAAATTAAAACTGTCACTCCAGTGAACACACAAATGATAAGAAAGCAAAACAGTCTTAGTGCTAAAGAGAAAGTTTTAGTGGTCTGAATAGAATATCAAACTACCCACGACATACCGAAGCCTAATCGAGAGTGAAGCCCTTAATCTTCAATTCTGTGAAGACTGAGAGAGGTGTGAGGAAGCTTCAGAAGTTTGAACTTAGCAGGCACTGGTTCATAAGGTTTAAAGAAAGAAGCTGTGTCCATGTCATGAAAGTGCAAGGTGAAGCAGACAAGTACTGATGTAGAAGTTGTAGCAAGCTCTCTAGAAGATCTAGCTAAGATAATTGTTGAAGGCGAGTATACCAAACAACAGATTTTCATTGTAGATGAAACAGCCTTTATGTTGGAAGATGATGCCTTCTAGGATTTTCATAGCTAGAGAGAAGTCAGTGCCTCATTTCAAAGCTTCAAAGGGCTGGCTGACCCTCTTATTAGGGCCTAATACGTTGAAGCCAGTGTTCATTTACCATTCTAAATATCCTAGGGCCCGTAATAATTATGCTAAATCTACTCTGCCTATGCTCTGTAAATGGAATAGCAAAGCCTAGATGACAGCACATCTGTTTACAGCATGATTTACTGAATATTTTAAGCCCACTGTTGAGACCTACTGCTCAGAAGAAAAGATTCTTTGAAAATATTAATGCTTATTGACAGTACACCTGGTTACCCATGAGCTCTGATGGAGATGTACAAAGAGATTAATATTTTCATGCTTGTTGATACAACATTTTGTAGCCCAGGGATTAGGGAATAATTTTGGCTTTCAAGTCTTAATATTTAAGAAATACATTTTGTGAGGTTATAGCTGCCATGAATAGTGATTCCTCTGATGGAGCTGGGCAAAGTACGTTGAAAACCTTTAAAGGATTCATTATTCTAGGTGCTTTTAGGAACATATGTGATTCATGGGAGGAGGTAAAAATATCAACATTAACAGGAGTTTGGAAGAAGCTGATTCCAATCCTTATGGATGATTTTGAGGGGTTCTGGAATTCAGTGGAGGACATAACTGCTGATGTGTTAATAGCAAGAGAAGTACAATTAAAAGTGGAGCCTGAAGATGTGACTGAACTGCTGCAATCTCATAAAAAGTTAACAGACGAGGAGTTGGTTCTTATGGATTAGCAAAGTGGTTTCTTGAGATGGAATCTACTGGTGAAAGCTGTGAACATTGTTGAAATGACAGCAAAGTTTAGAATATTACATAAACTTATTTGCTAAAGCAGCTGCATGGTTTGAGAAGATTGAGTCCAATTTTGAGAGAAGTTTTACTGCAGGTAAAATGCTATCAAATGGCATCACTTGCTGCAGAGAAATCTTTTGTGAAAGAGTCAGTGGATGTGGCAAGCTTCATTTTTCTGTTGTTTTAAGAAATTGCCACAGCCACCCCAAGATTTCAGCAGCCACTACCCTAATCAGTCAGCAGCCATCAACATTGTGCTACCCAAATTTCCATAGAATCAAACTTAGTCAGAATCCTGTTAGGCTTTTTTTTTTTTTTGGTAGAGTTTGAACTGATTCTAAAATTTATATGAGAATGTAAACAACCTAGAATAGCCAAACAACTTTGAAAAAAAAAAAGAACAAAG